ATAAAACCACACAAAAGTGACTCTCATATCCCGTCATCAAAGCTGGTGGAATTTTGAACTGAGTTAATCCACAAAGAGAGTTCATTCAATGAAATAATTCACATGGGGGCTATTGCTAGCAGGGGGTTATTACAAAAAAGCCTAGACGATTAGTTTCGAGTCGATTGGAGTAATCATAGGACCGACTACGTTGCCTCAAATTCATTTGGGTTGATTTTGTGCGTATTTGGAGAGTGTTGTGCCGGTTTTTGAGTTGAATGTCATAGGTAAGTTTCTCCAAGCTTGCTCAAGCTGGACTAAATTTGCCAAACTTACAGTTTTCAAAAACCAATAACCTGTTTAAAATGATTACTGATGAGCTATATTTCTATTCAGGGTATCAGTGTCTTTTCTAAGGTATATAAGTTTCTTGACAACTAATATTTCCAAAAACTGGTCTGTATCACAAAAAAGAGCCAGAACTCTATCATGTTGTTCTACTTTCTTCTAAGATTGATAAAATGTTGACAAAATATATATAGGATTAATTTATTGTCAATTTAATCGTCAGCCAAAAATAAGTTGGTCAAATTGTTCTTCGCCGTCGCTTAATGTTGGGTTGGTGACTGCTATAAAACTAGTTCTGCCAAATTTCAAGTTTGCTTTTTATCCGCGCTTCTTGTTTTTTTTTCATTGAAAATTTACATGGCAGAACATTGTTGAATGAAAATTCTTTTGGCATTACGGTCTTGAGTTTCATCAATAAGTGGTCGTATTTGAAAGTGGTTTGCTCTTTTGACATTTCACTTTGAACTCGCGTGTACGCAACTCCGGTTCTTCAAACAGGCTAATAAGTAAATATATATTTACTCTCAAGTGTGAGAGTAAATATATAAACAAACAATTGAGTTCAACTAGAACAAAATGACGGAATATCCATCAACGCTTTTGGTTTGAAATTTTTTTATATCTGGCTTTTGTGAAAAATTTTGATGAGATTTTTCTAACTGCCATTTCTCAAAAGGTAAAATCACTTGAGCGGTCTCTTCTAAATACAAAATTAGCAACCCTTTAGATTACTCCGACACTCTCGAACTGGGGTAGGATTTTAATTTTTCTGCAAATTTATAAATTTAAAAACGTCATATCTCGGAAGCTGAAATGATTTGAGTAGTTATATTTGGAGCCAAAACTTGCAACGCCTGAGAGTATTCCATAAACACCGCTCGGTTTAGAATATCGAAGCTTTTGTAAATCTAATTTTTCTAAATAAATTTTGAAAAAATTACATAAATCATAAAAGTTATATCTCGAAATCTAAAAACATGGGAGACATATTTGGAAACAAGGTTTGCAAATCGTGGGAATAATTTAAGAGCGCTTCACTACAGGGTTGGGAGTTTTAGATTTTGTTAATTTGTTTATATCAAAACTCTTTGAAAAATTATGATGAAATCATTTTAAAAAATGCCACATCTCAAAAACTAAAACAATTTTGTGAAATTTTCTAAAACCAAGTTCCAATTTTGTGAAATTCCGAATTTGTGAAATTTTCTAAAACCAGTTTTTTTAAAATTTTTAAACTTGACCGTATCCCACTATTTTGTTGCTAATTTCAAACTTAAAACCAAACTTACAACCACTGAAAATTCAAACTAGAAAATCGAGAAGTTCTTGAGCATTGGAATACACAATAAAGCTTAAACGTGAAAAAACTCTTTCGTTAAACAAGCTAAAATAATACTTCGAATAAATTAGGAAAATGCAGTGACAATTTTAACGCCATTTTACTGTCACAACGTAAGCTGTCTCGAAATTTCTTTAAATGGGCGAAGTTGTTTAATAAATTTGTCAGTAATTATAAAACAGCGATTCTCTCATTGGCTTTTACAGCGACAATGCCCATACAACGGGAATTCATTTAAACCAAAAACAAAAAATCGATTACGTATGTAACAAATATTCAATAAGTCAAAGACTACGAAGCCGACTATTTTAAACTCTCGTCTAAGTTCGCCAGCAGGCCGTACCCTCTGTTGGCATGCTCGCAACACGTTGGCGCAACTGCGGCGGTCACTTTTCTGCTGTATAGTTATATGCTGTTTTAATAGAACACATTTGGTTTAATGAATTGTTGGCTACAAATTTAATTTACCGGAAATCGATTTAAAGAATTTGGGTAAAAGTGCGAAGGATTTTTCTTTTTAGCAAGTAAACGCTAGTAAATGGGAACTCAGCTTGCATACCACACATATCAGTGTAGGAGAAAATGAATGGCAGTCAAATTCAGCTCAACTTGAAATTTTTCTCTCTTTTTTTGACCCCACTCCTCTGTTACTCAGGCTAAGAAAGGAGTTTCAATTAGTATTATAACTTGATTTTATTGCAGGATATAACTTGCTGGGTGCTATAATGCTAAAGAGCCAAATATTTATGGTAAATCATCACTGGAACTTCTGTCTGTATTTTTTCTTAGAACAACTTGAGTTTTCTTGAAAGCAAATGCTCAAAATTGCTATTAAAAACAATTGTAACACATTATTTACAAAACCGCATAAGCAGCGAGCATTGTTCTATTAAAGCCGCCACATTAGTGCATGACAATTAATCAACATGCTGAGCATTGAGCTATAAGAAAAAACAAAAACTAAACTACCATTATAATTGTTCCGACTTTCAGAAAACTGAATATTTATGGTTTTTTCATTCAGTCAATTTTTGCCGATCGAAATAAGATTTTTCAACAAAATTTTTTTTATACCTCATTGAAGATCTAGAGAAGCGTAATTAGTCCTTTACTTACAGTACCTTCACACGATTACTCAGTTCTGCCTGCTGAAAAAATAGTGTCTCTACGGGGCACTATTCCTTTGAGGTTCTCTAACTGATCTCGTCAGCTTCAAGAATCACTGTTCTCACTGTGACGAGAACCAATTATCTACTGTCTCTGCTATAACTGTTTTCTTATTCCGAGAACCAACTTTTCAACTCACAAGCAATAAATGTTCTGACTCTTGAAGGCTCTCCGGTATACTCCAAGTCCTTGAATTTCTTCACACCTTGTTTTATTTAGTTCACGCCAGTCCTATCAGTCATTGCATCCGCTTAAATCACTCGTCCTTACATGGTTTATAACTATGTCCCTTCTCGTGTCAGCACTGCTACTTGCCAAGTTCGGTTTCTTTTATCAATCTCTTGGCGCTTATTAGGTACCGGGTGTGCGGTAGTGTCACATTTCTACCAAGCAAACAAATCTCTTATAAACCTACTCAATTATTTCCTGACCTCCGTGAAATTTAATCCTCGAATTCAATTCATCTCTAAACCATGCTAGATTTACTCTGAACCATGCTATGTTTATCTCAAAGTTTTTTTTTTCGTTTTTGTTCTGACCTTCCGGGGATATGGGAAACCCTTTTCATGGGTAGCTTATTCATTTTCGACAATACTCGTTTCAAATGCCGACTGCTTGCTATCAAGGGAACGTAGTTTGACTATTAGGGGTCAAATAAGGTAAAGAAGTCACCCCCGGTAGCCAAGTAAAATTCTTGTCCATTCATTTTAATTAGAAAACTTAATAAATCTCGAGGTCCTACTAATACCAATTTTGTCTGGGACTACTTTTCTTTGAGTTGCTATTAATAGATCATTCGTCATACTCAGCTGAGCCCAATATTAAACAAGTCCACCTTGAATTTATTATGCCTCTCAACGGTTGCTATGTAAAAATATCCTTATCAAATACTGCTTTAGTCTCCAATAGATACATTTCCTCCCAATTATTAGTAAGGTGATCAGGTTCTATTTCCAGGGGTTGGGCGGAAAAATATCCCTTTTTCTGGTGTTAATCCCGGGGTTTTTATTGCAACTTTTGAGTCAAAACGGCCAAAGTTCAACATAAGGTCACCTAGGGTCACCCGGGGTCAATCTTTCATATTTGGTTTCAGAATTGTATGGGGATCCTACCTATCAATTACCATACATATCCCATTAATACTTCCAAGTTAACCATTTTACAAGGTTCGATATCACTTTTCCCAGAAAAAGGTTATTTACACCAGAGGAATTGTCAGAGGGGTTTTACTCGCCAGGTTTTTTTTTCGGATGGTGGGGACTAATATCAATTGTCGCTACAATATCAGTATGACTTTGCAAAGGGTGTTTTGCAAGTTCTAATAGTTTACGAGTCAACCGTTGAAAATAGTTCAAATAATAACACAAGATTTATCTTGCCACTACCAATCATTCCTCCAAGTTTGGGCTCCCTGCATTCTTTGCGGGCCGAGAAACGACTCCCAGAAGTTAGGGTTGGAATTCTTTGTTTTTGGGCATGAACTGGAAATGGGGTCCGGGGTCTGGACTTCTAAACTTAAGTTTCCTCAACTAGGCCTGTAACATACTAAAATTTGAGCCCAATAAAGCCGAATTCCGATAGAAGCACTTAATCTTTTTGGGACTGTTATCACTTGACCCCATGTGTCTGAGTTTTTTTATGCAGGGGTCAAATCATCTCTAGCACCGCCTCTCTGAATTTCATGACATCCGCTTTCTTGGTACCCTTTTGGGGGTGCGGGGGGGGGGGGTTGGACGGTTTTGTTGTTTATCTATTTTCTGGAATAGGATGGACTATGCCTTCGAAGTTTCGAACTATTTGGGGCGTGACCCTTCGTTAGCTGTACTACTTAACTTAATGACTTATCAATCTTCCGCTCAGGTTACTATGGCATGTAATACAGTAAAATCGTTAATTCTGCAGACTTTAGCAAAATTAATTGCCTGTTGCAGAGCTTCAAAACTTTAACTATCCATGAAAAGAGAGATAATTTATAAAAAAAATTAGTTTGTAAAATATAAAGCAATGTCAATTTTTTATAAACTTTTTTTGTGATTTGCGGAGCTTATAACGTTTTTCTGTGAACTGTCGTACAAACTTATGACAAAAGAATCAAGAGTGCTGCCACTGCTCAATTTTCTTCTCACATCGAAAGCGACAGAAAAATTATCCCGAATTGAAAAACAAACATTAACACAATTTCTATTAAATTAGCAGTTGTTGTGAAAGCACTATATAGCTGAATAGGTCAAAAGTAAATAATACTTCTATTGGAAAAAGATTTTAAGCTTCAAATAATTATTTGATTAAGCATTGATAGAGGTATATAATTGCTATATAACCCTGACTACACTTTTGAAGGCAAATATTCCATTAGTTTTCGTCATGAGTGTAATGACCCGCTTCATATCTGCGGCCTATGACGTAATCAGGCTTCATTATTTCACTCAATTCTTGTGCTTCTTCCTTTGTGAGCGAATACTTCACTGCGTCAACGTTTTTGTCCAAGTTCTCAACCTTCGATGTTCCTGGAATGGGAACAATATCCTCGCCTTGGGCCATTACCCAAGCTAAAGCTAGCTTTGAAGCAGTACAACCATCACCCTTTCTAGCTGCCATGGCTTCAATCTTCTCAACCAATTTCGCATTTTGTTTCATCGCTTCCTCTTCGAATCTAGGGTTGTTCAGACGCCAGTCACCCTCTTTCAAATCTTCTCTCTTTTTAAAACTACCAGTCAAAAAGCCTCGGCCTAACGGCGAGTAGGCGACAACTCCTATTCCTAATTCACGGCAAGTCGGAATGATTTCCTCCTCAACATCACGTGACCACAGCGAATACTCAATTTCAACTGCTGTGATTGGCTGAACTGCGTGTGCTTTTCGGATCGTTATGGCCGACGCTTCACTCAAGCCGACTCCTTTGATCACCCCTTCTTTGATCAACACTTTCATAGCCTCCATACTTTCTTCAATCGGTGTCCTGGGGTCGATTCGGTGAATATAGAAAATATCGATATAAGATCCCAATCTCTCTGCCGATTTTCGCCCTTCTTCTACGATGAAGTCTTTCTTGCCGCAGACATCCGGTTTGTTGTCCTTGAAACCAATTCCAGTTTTAGTTGCGATGCAAAGTTTTTCCCGCTCCTCGGGCGTCATTTCTAGAATTTTGTTTTAGACATTTAGTTTCAGGCTCCTATTTCGAAACTGCTCGAGTAAAATAAGTTATACTCGAGCACTTTTGAGTAAAATAAATTATACTCGAACACCGATAAACATTGAATTTCATTCAACGCTGAAATTTTCAATATTTCAAATGAAATAGTTTGACCATGATAACTTACTTTTTGAAAATTGCAAGACTTTGCAAATATTTTTGCAATTTCGGGCAGTTTTTGAAAAGCTTTGGACAAATAAGAGTTTTGAAAAAGTTTTTGGTGTTTTTAAGATTGTACTCGCTTTGGTTTTGATACGATCAGTTTAATGTTTACTTAAGAGTCTAAAACTAAATTAGTTCCTTTCAAAAATTTCCCCATTAGCTTCTCGTTGTGACCGAATCCGTAAATGAAAGCCGAGTCAAACATGGTCACGCCCAGTTGCCGTGCACGACGAAGGACTTTCAGTGCGTCGTCGTCGGTGTAATCCGACTTGTCTGTCTTGTAAATGGCTGGAGATAGCGACATGCATCCGTATCCGAGCTGTGAACAAGTTACACCGCAGCCAAGTTTAGCTTGCTTCATTTTATATTCTTCAGTTTTTTTCTACTTGATCAGACTAATAACGTTGAGCAATTGAGATTAAATGAAAGTTGAAGAAACTCTTGGGCGGAGTTTTTGAACCAAATTGAATTGGCTTGCTAATTTTAAATAGTTAAACAAAAGAGGGTAAATAATATGCCCACTTAAACTCCGTTGTTTGAATTTGATTAACTTTAGAGTCAGCTATACTCTTAAGCCCTGACTATTTTTGGTAAGAATTAGATAGTACGGAAATTTACCGCCGAAAATTTGCATGTCATTTTAAGTCCTATGGCATTTGGTTGCCTACTAGAAATTTGAATGTCATCTTAATATGACTTTAACCTTTAAAAACAGCCCTATAGAATCTTTTTCACGTTCGATCAGGAAATTAAACCATGAACTGTTAAAACTAACACCATCAGGGGTGGATTTCGAAATTTTTCGAGGGACGGTAGATTTAAACAAAACTGGATTTTTTTTGTTGACTAAATGCATTTTCCGAGCTAAACAAAACTAAAGGCAATTTTACGAAAGTGTGCCAAAAAACGCCGTCTATTAGAATTGAAATAATTGTTCCGACTTTCGTAACGAAAGTAATGGAAATTTTGTGCTCGGGGTGGGTTTTTTTTCTTCAGACAAATTTCGGCTTTTTAACTAACCTTTTTTGACGGAATTTTTCTGTATCATTCAAAAGGTATTGTTGTCCTGAGGTTAATTTTGAAAAAATTCACTTTTGATCATTTTTTCGGAATTTGATGATGGTTTAAAGATTGCCATTTTGGCCAATTTGGGACAATTAACGCGCGATATGTTTAGCGCTATTAACGTGTAAGCGGAGATTTAACCCGTCTTAGAAATCGTTCCAAATTCGTTGAAGGAAGCTAATTTTCCGTAATTGATTTGTTACTAGGAAGAAAATCATTCACTTTGTTCTTAATATGGCGTGTGGGGGGTTGATTTTCATAAAAAAATCTCAAATTCTGAATTTTTTTTAAAAAATTTTACGTTTATTTTTTTTTGATGTTAATACTGCTTTTTGAAGACTTTAAAAGGCAGTCGGGACATTCAGGGCTTTGCCCTGATGCGAGCAGTCTTGTTGAAAGTTTTTGACCAATTAAATAGTTGCTACTTTTAACTCGCGCTTTTCCTTAAAAACTACTGTAGTCCAACACTACTTGTTATTCATTGACAGTAACAATTGAACAGGGATATAGGGCTTTGAGAGTTTTTGAACTTTTAATCACTTCTTTTTGATGAGGTTCAGACGTATTTGGTTCAAATAACTATCGAATAAGAGAGGCATTTAAAGATAATAAACAGCGTGCACTCAGCCGATTTTTAAGATTCGAAAGTGCTTTAACTCCCCTACTAACTCAAGTAAAAAAAGTTTTAACTCCCCTACTAACTCAAGTAAAAGGAAATTTTCTCAGGCCACGGAAGGGACAATTTCTATTCAAACTGCTCAAATAAGAGAAGTTAACAGTCTATGAAAAAAATGACTCCACTTTCGATGCAATTGAATGCAAGCAGCAACCAAATACAAACTCGACCGAATAAAAACTTTTCAAAAAGTCTTCACGTCAACCGGAAATTCATTTCAATCGCAAATTTTTGTACCCTATACCTCTACCACTTGTTCAACAATAATTGCTATGAATGTAACTCTTGATTCAGTCCATTCGAATCTAACCTTCTTACTCAGTCAAAGACCTCAAAAGGCAACTGAATTCGGCCAGCTGGATATCGAAGCCACAACCATGGTGGATCTGCAGACGTCGAGATTGTTCAGCTCTTACCTCACAACGCAATTTCTACACCAATTTAGCCGATCTAGAGTCCCTTGCTGAAAGTTATGTCCATATCGAGTTGGAAGGAACAAGCTATCAAGTATGCAAAAACAAAAAAAAACTGAATCGAAAATGACGAAAGTTTGATTTACGAAAAGGACTGACATCGGCGCACGAGCTATTACAACATCAGCTGTAAATCACGCTTTTTCAACCCAGTGAAAGAACCAATTCAACAAAAAAGCGGTTTTTACTATAGATGAGCAATGCTCAAAATTCAAATTTAGTGCATCAAAATTGGACTATTTGGTAAAACTTTAGGGCCAGCTTGGGTTCTTCTAGAGCTGTATAAACAAAATTTTTCTAACGTTTAATTGCAACAAAATTAATCGAGAATAAAAGTAAATGAACCCCAAACTCAAGTATGTACTTAGCAAAGAGAGTAGCAGGTGTCATCACCTCTAAGATTTCAGCATAATCTTAAATTTTAGATCTAACGACATAGCTGTTCTAATCGGTGGTGAAAATAGAACTTTAACAAAACTAAGTGGTACATAGATAATGACCCAAGAACAGAAATAATACATAGTAATTTAACGTTATATGCAGTACACGCTCCCTTGATTCCCTTACAAAGATGTTGACAATGTCAAATTTCTAATTTAAAACCTCTAATTTTGACTTCTATGCTTCGATTTGATTTGCATTTATCAATCTTTTTTTTTCAGTTGGGTAACAAACAATAATGACATACTGTTTGAAATTTTCTCTCGCCTTTAGGGACTTTGTTCACACACAATCACTTTTCTGTAAGCCAGTTCCGCCCACAAGTATCCTGCTAAAAAATTTTCGGAAAATTCCGTGTATGTTTAATTGTCAAATAACACATTCATACATCAAAGCAACCAACAATATGTAGCCATTCCATCGGTAGATCTAGAACTTTCTTGAGGAGGGGGAGGGTCTTCGTATATTTTCAAGATATTTTTTTCGACTTTTTATTGGCCAAACAAATTGTTTTTCCGAGCTCTCTCAAACCACAATGAAGGCCTTTTTTCACTCAAATTTCTTCTTGGAAAGTTTTGACCTAAAAAAAGCGTTTTTCGGCGTGCATATTTACTGCCCACCCCTTCCCAAAATCCGCTCCTAAATGTCTTTAAAACCATGGCTCTTCACAATGTCTAACACTGGTTGACACAATTTTTTACACTCTCGAACTTCAAGTGTACTGGAACCTGATCTAAACTATATTTTATGATTGGATAAATTAGATATTTTACCACTGTAAAGTATTTAATATTAACCAATCATGATCCATCTAACTAACAACCCATTTATTTGTAAGTGCTGAAATTACTTGTAATTTCAGCACCAGAGAGATTTGAATTTAACTTAGAAATTAGTTGCCTCTCCAAGAGAACTTCAGCAGCCGCAATAAACCAGTATACCCTAGATCTATTGAGCCTAGCAGAGATTAGTTAAACAACCTGAGACTAGATAGTATAAAAGTAAGATTAGGATCGGTATTAGACTAAGAAGTTGCACGAATCTATCCGGCCGAAAATAAGATAGCGTGACGAGCAGACGGTGTACCCTATCCGAAATTACTCTATGAGTTAACCACATCGGTCCTAACTCATCTGGTGCGACCATAAGTCTCGAACAAGACCTTAATAGCTTAGAATTAACCAAAAATAGATTAGAATTTAGACAAAACATTTTCAAAATGTTATACGACGATAATTTAATCGAAATGTCTCTACGACTCAATAGATCAGAGCCAATATTCCGAACGATATTAGAACTACCCGGAATTGGAAGAAGACCTCGAACCAGAGACGACATACAAAAAAGTAGAAACTTACCAAATAGTTATATGATAGTACGGCAAAAGCCAACACAAACTTTTATATTTAGAATCTTATTAGCAATGAATTTAGATTTTCATTTGCAAACATAAAATCTTGAAGTCAATATTCATGATCATTTCAGGCGCTAAACAAAATTAGTAATATACAATAACGATTGACAAAAAGATCTCAGATCGTTTTCCTAAATTCTGCAGTATTATATAAAACATGTTTGGAAAATATTTTTTGAAAACCAAAACAAAAATTAGTAGCATGACAATAAATTGTTAGTAATCATAAAATCATCAGTTGTCCCAGTTTCATCACCTAAGCATAACAGCAATCATAAGCTCACTAATATCATTAAAACACTAAATCTTTTTCTTAAACAAATTTAAACCATTTTAAACTTAAATTCACTTAATTTTAAAATCAGATCATCAAGGCTTATCCTTGGATCTTAATTAATTTTCTATTTCACTAAATTTAAAACTTGATCATCAAGGCCTATCCTTGGATCAAAAAGAACAATTTTGTTCTCCCCCACCCACTTAGCAAGTGTCTAACGACCTCAAACGTCGATTCACTATCCAACCCTTTCAAAAAACCTAAGACTAATAGAAATTTTTGAACAAAACTAATCATTCAAATTAGGATAAACAGTGAAGAACTTCGGTTATTCATCCTTCACTTGAACCCTCCTCTTACCAGACCCAGGTTAAATCTTAGACTTAGTAAGTTTGAAATAGTATCTAACGAACTACTTGCGTTCTAATTATACCTGAACCTTGTGGATC